GGGTTGAAATAGTTTGTGTGGATCTGTATATAATTAAGTTTATATTACACAATATATAGTATAGTTACATAATACTGATTTGAAAACATAAGATTCATTAGCTACTGTCAGTTCTATAATGTCGAAAAGTTCATGATATTTGAGATAAACTGATTTGGACATTTATTTCTTGGTTAATTCAAAGTTTTGTTGTGTTGGGTAATTATGAATTACCTAACATTCTTCAATTCCATTACTGTATCATGCGACGTCGCATGAAGCGGCCTATTATGGTGTGGCCGGTAACGCGACGTTGCGTTATGGTCTCTTACAATCTTTTACGGGCTATACATAGAATATCAGGTGTTTCATTATCATATCATTTGTTTTGGCCACTAAAGTAGGCAAGGAACTTTTGACAGATGGGCGTAGCTTGTAGGTTTAGCTTTGACTTGCTTGCATGTAAATCCAAGATTTTGGCTTGACAATGAACGTGTTAAAGCTGCATTTATTTAGAGAAAATAACAACTCTAGTAACTTGTATAACACAAACGCTCCCTCAATGCAGCATCGTGAGTATAAAGTTACGTGGATCATTTAGCAACGGAAGGTATCACAGCAATACGAGTTGTATGACACAAATGGATGTCATTTGTAATTAAATATCATTCGCTTTGCGTAAATGGATTCCTTCAGATGTCTGGAACGTTTGAAGTTATGTTTCGGATGGTAAAAGTCTACAACGAGGTGTATTTGTAGTTCTCTTGTAGGATTTAAGTTATCTGTGATGGTGATATAGGTAGATAAGTAGATACTTTTATTAAGATATTAAATTACTTTAAAGTTTAAAGTGGAAGAAACTTAAAACAATGCAAATGGAATGAAAAACAATTTACCAATATCCTAACTGCAATAAAAATAGACATTTATCTGAGCCAAAATAAAATTTTATTTTATTGATATTGCAATTCAATTATTAAGTAAAACCGGTAAGTGAGAGTCAGACTCGCGCACGAAGGGTTCCGTACAGTTATCTTTAAAAAGTGCAAAAAATCACGTTTGTTTTACAGGAGGGCCCCATAAATATTTATTCTATTCTGTTTTTAGTATTTGTTGTGATAGTCGTAAGAGAAACATCCTTTTTGAAAATTTCAACTGTCTAACATGGTTCGTATGATACAGCCTGATGGAAGACAGATGGAATTCGATGGTGCAGTGATTAGCGTGCTCGGTCTGCGGTACGTTTACTATACAAATTAAGGGCCTGTTATAGGAAGGGTAACCAAATATTAACTATCTCGAGCTCCTACGTGATTTGGAAGGCACGTTAAGACGGTTGCATCTGCAGACATTAACACCTATCAATCCGCACTGGGACTCTTTCTCCCTTTTCGATTTAATTCTATTCCATCTATAGGGAAGGCCTAGTCCCCAGTAGTGGGTACATTAATAGGCTGGTGATATTGTTGACAGACACACACACACACACACACACACACACACACACACACACACACACACACACACACACACACAGAGAGAGAAACAAAGAGAAAGAGAGAGAGAGACAGACAGTAGTTGCGTTGTTGAGTTATTCTTTTTGCAAGTGAACTGTAGTGAAGCGCTCCCTCTTTATTTGCTTACTATTTTAAGACTTCGCAAAGCATTACATAACAGTTAAGTATTTATTTAACAGTTGATTGAATTTTGTTTCTTTGTAGAAACCAATTCATAAGTTTTTTTTTTCGATAAGTGATTTATTATTTCCAGTTTTCTGCTTTATAGTGATTTCTCTCGATTATAGATACGAGAGTTATTATAGAGTGTTAGTTGAATAGCAAATAAATTAGGTTATAATTTGTTATTTGTAGCAGCTACTCGGCAAGTGCCACTTTAGCTCACTGCGAAAGAAGCATATAATTATTTGAAACGTGAAAAAGTAAGTCCCTTTGACGCAAAAGTAGCAATTTTATTCTTTCCTTTGTAGAAGTTCATGAAATTATGTAGCTGTAAAACTTATTCTGTATTCTAAAAATGTTAGTGAAAATTGTATTTACACAGCCGCTTTTATATTGAAAACATTATATGTTTTACTTGGAATTTGTTATATGAATAAACTTCGTAATAGACAAAAGGTAGATGTTACAGTTAAAAAAATATTTCATCTCATACATTGCTCTTGTTTTATGGACATCTAAAATAACGAAGGCAACAATATACCCAGACTAGCGATAATATAGTAATTGATTCGCACTGGAATTGAACCTGGGATCTCAGAGATGGTGACACATTGAAACAGGCGTATGATCCGCTCGGCTTAGTTTACTTGAAGGCATCTTATGTATATTAAATCCATGTATGTATTAATCCAACCTTGATGAGCTGTCTGAGCCTTGCGCACTTTGACATAAATTTTTTAATATATTTGGCCAATTTTCCATTCACAATGCTATACCTCGTGTGTTCATAAGTTTTGAAACGAAATAAAAGTTGCGTAACTTTTTAAATAATTAACTTATATATCTCAAATTTTCAGTAACCATTAAATAGATAATAATCAACAATAAAATATAAATATTATTCAAAATGACTGCCCTTGTATTTAATACAGACCCTTAGATGATTTGGCCAGTCATCAATGGCGGCACGAATTTTCTAGTGGAATTCGCTTTGCTTCTCGAAGAAGGGTTCGCTTAAGTGACTCCAAGTTTGGATGGATTTTCGGCAGGCCCTGAGCTCTAATTCACTCCATAATGAATAATCTAGAGGGTTGAGGTCGGTTCTGGAGGAGGGCCACACGTCCGCGGCAATGAAGGCCGGCACATTCTCCCTCAATCAAGCTTGGATGCTTTTTCTCTTATGGGATTGCGCCAAGTCTTGCTGAAAAACCTAATCCTTATTGTGAGATAACGTAACAGACAGGGGTTTCACCACGGGCTCTAAAATGTCACTCTGATAATTCTTAGCTTGTTGGCAGAAATGAAGCGGAGGAGCATCATCATACGAAACTCCCCACCATGCCTTCACATTAGTCGGATGATGAGTGCGCGAGACATTTCGTGCAGAAGCTGAGACATCCTTGCTACTTTTGCGTACACTTTATTGTTTTGTCGGTTAAACTTTTTCTTCGAGAGTAAAAATTTTTTTGTCGGTGAAGATCTTCCTGGCATCATGTCTCCTTAGCAGCAATGGACAACGTTCGCGTCGTAACTTACGAAGACGATCGTTTAAAAAATAACTTTTCTATGGCTAGAGGCCTTTACCTTAAGATCATATTTCATAAATATTAGACTGCAGAGCGAGTTTCTTCTGAGTGCGACATGGATTTCGGCGAAGTCGCTCTCGGATGATTTTGATGTTCGCAGGCGTCCTGGCAGAGCGTGGCCGACTCCTTTGGTAAGCTTGCAGAGAACTTGCCTCTGTACCGCTATATTGCGTAATAGATGAAGTTACGGCTTACAGGAAAACTATTTAGCTCGCGGACAATCTGCATCGGTTTTTTCCCGCGTTAAATAGCGGAATGACAGTTGCACGTGATTGTTTCTCTCCATCCATCAAGAGAAAATATAAACAAATGAATTTGCAATACAAATAAACTAAAAGTTAACATTCCTAATAACAGCTAGTACATATTATTTTATATTTTCAGTAAAACGTTTGTCTCAAAACTTATGAACACATGAGGTACTGGAAAATATTTTTAAAGAAAAATGCTTAAATAAAAACAAAGTGACAAAGGGATAAAAAGGATTTTTTGTTTTTCATAAAGATTTTTTTTTTTATTATATTTCATCAATTTGCATTTACAATGCAATACTGAAAAATATTCTTAATAAAAATGATTAAATAAACACAAAGTGACAAAGTGGATTTTTAAGCATATTTCATTAACAATAAATTACTTTATTATATTTGATTAATTTTCCATTCACAATGCTAAATGGAAAAAAAGAAATTTATTCTTAATGAAAAATGTTTAAAAAATCCACTTAGTAACTTTGTGTTTTTAAACATTTTTCATTGAGAATAAATTTCTTTAGTAAAAAAAAAAAACTTTTTTTTTCTATTTTCTATTTTGCAATTATTACGTGTAGTTCAAGGCCGGACTGGCCATACGTATAGGAAAACTAGGAAACCGCCTTGGGTGTTCGTATTTTGGGGAAGGCTTCTCACGGCAAACTAATTTTTTCTAAACCCTTGTTTAAAAATGCAGCAAACTCAAAAAAATACTTTTTATAAATACGTTCTTTGAATGTGAGTTCATGTCCGTGATACTCAAAAGCAATTTTTAAAACAGCACTACCTAAGGAGTATCTTTTGTCATTGGAAAAATTACATTCTTCAATCGGTGTGCCTGCATTATTATCGTTTTTGTGATTTTTTTATGGTCGTTGTTGAATGACGGACACTACACCAATCACTAGGCTCTACAGTGAATTATCCCCATATTTTTAGGCATCAAAATGGACAGTAGTAACCTATCAGTACCAGTCTATAAACCGCAACACATGAGTTACTCCAAATTTTAATGTATGGAAACGTAAACTATTTTTTTCTATATAACTTTAATATGAAGTGTAAAGCCAAAAGTCTAACACCCGTTTTTAACTAGCAAACGTCTTATGACCCATAAATTAAATAGCATCCAATAGGTAAAATAATTCTAAATATCGGTCCAAATAAAGAGAAAAAAACAATCAATTATTTTTTTCTCTTTACAACATTAGTAAAGAAATATCGATAAAACAAAATCGCTTCCCGCTGTCTATACGCTGAGATCTTTAAACTACACCACGGATTAACGCGGTTTCCATCAATATACAGAGTGATACAAGAGGAAGTTTTATATTTATAATAAAAAAACTACGTAGGCAAAGCTGCTGGCGGAAAGTTAGTGTTCAAATAAATAAAACAAATATAATATTCAAATATATTTGTATATTCATATCAAACTTTAACCTTACGGACAGTCTTTCTTTTAAAACTTAATAATAAGTACGTACATACATTAATAGTTAAATTTAATTTCTTATTACACTACGTATCCATGGTAGGTATCGATATACATTAGTGTACAGAGAAGGTACGGATGTGCCGCAAGGAGCGTCCGCCCTCTTTCCGCTGACCACTCCGGACAAGTAGTATTTATCATTGTAGTTCATCATCAAAGGCCCACCAGAGTCCCCTTTGCAAGTATCTTCACCCGAATAACCGGCGGCGCACACTTGATTCCTATTCAAATTCGGATAGGAGTTCCTACAGCTCTTCTGTGGGACTAAATTGACCACTGTTGATTGTTTAATGTTGGATTTGTAGCGGCCGTTGCGACCCCAACCGGCTACTGCTAGTTTTAGGTTGGTTAACTCTGGATTATCTATGTCGAGAGGCGGCAGGCATATTGGTCGGATGTAGTCTGAAAAAATATAAAGATTAAATAAAGGCAGAACACCATGGTTTTATTCGTGTCATCAAGAGATGTTTATAATTTTTTTGTATTAAAACTTTAATTGAAAGTTTTTTTTGGCGTTTTGAATTTATTGAGTAACAAACATCCAAACATTTAACTTGCGCAATTATTATAGCGTTCATTGAAAAACACAAAATTTTAATTGTAATGTAAAAGAAATAATTTATTTGTTACTTTTCGGTGTTGAACATATAGTATATCTGATTGTGCATATATTGTAGTACGGTCACAAATGGCAACCCTAATACCGCCGCATAAGGATGACACCACACTGCGTTTATACGCACGCGGATTGGGTAAAGCTGAAAACGCAAATCCACATACATTGCGGCTCGTGTTTCAAGTCAGCTAACTGAAGTATCGTGTGCGTTTGTGTAAAATTTTAACAACTAGTCACTAAACTAGAACAAGGCGTAGCTTACGAATCGCCTAAGCAGGTTAGTTTAATTCTTAATATGTAAATATTTTTTCTTTTATCCCTTGGCATATTTGTTATCTGTCATATTACGCAAATATCTAGTCATAACAAGGAAGGTTATTATGACCATTAATGTCATTAGGGAGAAATGCATTTTACCTTAGGTGGTTGCTAAATATTTAGGCGGCAGTTTGTGCGACTCTTAAGTTTAGTGTAACTTGGCATATGTGTTAAATTTTTTTAGATTCGTAATACAGTATGAGCCTTACTCTGTCTCCCGTATTTATCTTTGACATACGTTGCTTACGTTACTTAAAGATTATCCGGATTATCGTCACTTATGTCGTGGATTTAAGTGAACTTAGTCCTGGCAGTAAAGCCGCGCCAAGGCCACAAATTCAATTAAACATATGCTTCGAATAAACCACTTAGCGATAACGTAATGAGCTTCACGTCTTTGAACTTCTAGTTTAACAATATTTGGATATAACGTCTGTATCCTTACTAATACTAATGTCTGTATCAAAGCGGAAAGTTGTAATGGGATAATTTTATATGAAGATAGAAGCAATTCCTTAATATTAGAAAATTAAAAAAGAATGATCTAAAAATTTAATAAACATTTTGAAAAACTTCGGCAAAAATAATCACCACAAAAGTATAAAAAAAATCTTTTCGAAATAAAAATAAAGCTTGGCTTAACAACCTTAAATTACAAATGTACTATATAACTTTCTTCCGACTGCAATGAGAATTTGAATAGGTTTTAAGGACAGGGTTTTATTTTTATTAAATATTCGCAAACTATAACGATTATTGTAAAAGTTCTAAATAAAACCCACGGCTAGATGGTGACTGAGGTGACTCGTATACTTACCTCTAATATCTCTTTTACCTATGAAAAGTTTATATCCACCACCAGCCTTTCTACGTCCCCACTGCAGGGGCTCAGGCCTTCCTTATGGATGCTTAAGGAGGATGGGCCATGACCCTCCACGCTGGCCCATTGCGGATTGGAGGGTATTAACGACTGCAAATGCAGCCGGGACCAACGGCTTAACGTGCCTTCCCAAGCACGGAATAGCTCGAAATAATAATTTTTTGGTCACCCATCCCGTGACCGACCCTAGCGAAAGTTGCTTAACGACTACGATCGCGGGCCGCGGCGCTTATCCACTACGCCACCAAGCTACTTTAAAAGTTTATATAGAAAGAAATAAAAGATGTCATATTCAGTTTTTTTTCTATAGAAAATTTTTAGAAATTCACATTTTGTTTATATCGAAACCCTTGGCAATATGATGTAGTTTGACTTTTTTAGATAAGCTTATTTAGACGTTTCTTAGTTGTGTAAAATTAATTGAAATTTACTGTTCTTTTTTGTATACACGCCCTTTTAACAAAAAAAGGAGCTATTTGATATTGAAACAATGTGTCTGTGACGGATACATAAGCTCTGTCATATAAATCGGTAATTTCGCTTTAAACTAATGATAATTCTAATGGATGTCTGTGCAACTTGGGGACCGACACGTTGTGATTTTGCCATCAAACCGTCATCGAATAATTGAAATTAAAATAACTTGCAGTTTTGTTTAAGATTTCCTATAATGATTTTTATCAAACTCGAACCTTATTGAACCTTGAAATACATATCTTTGATATTATCTGATACCTCTTTATTTATTTAATATCAGTGTTATCTTCCAATGTTACAAAAATCAGTGTGGTGTGTAAAAGTATCGCCCTTTTGTGGTCATATTATGTATATTTAACTTATTCCTATCTACACTGTAGTAGATAATTCTATAATATTTACGTATTTCGCTCCATAATCTGAATAATAGGCGTAAACAAATCGTTTCATATCTACTCACTCACAAAGTTTGACCTAAATATATTGGAGCTTAGTCTAATTCTTTCTTAATCTAATTACACCATTTTATAAATAACACTGTTTTAAAAGAAGCCTCATCAACTCACTTGTATACGGCGCTACTCGCTGAAGCCTTACGATGGCTATGTCGTTGTAAAGTCTTTCGTTATCGTAGTCGGGATGAAGGATATAGTCTTCAGCATTCATGACTACGTTTTCGACGCACACTTCTCCACGACTCAGTGAAAACTTGCAATCTCTGGGTGATGTACGCTTGTCGTATTCGGCTAGAGTCACTTCGATTCTGCGAACGTCAAACGTTTTTAATTAGGGGCCTAGTCGTGTAATTTTATAATCTATTGAAATCCCTTTAGATTTGATATTTAAGAGACATTCACTACGCGATATTTTATTTATTGGATACGCGATAGCGATTGCTATCGCGTAAAAAAACGGTGCTTTTTTGAAATTTGACGATAATTGGAATTGTTAAGGCGAGCGTTAGACACAATTATTTTTAAAGCTTTTGAGACTTGAATTAGCTAAGTTTCTTACAGCCAGTTGCACAAACTTCCATTAAAATTGTCATTAGATTAAAGCGTCGTTACCCATACATATCTGACATTCATTAGATCTTAAAGGCGCCATTAAACCTTAATGGACGTTTGTGCAACGGACCGTTAATGATTCAAAACATCATTTGTTCCGAAAGCGTTTGCGACTTTAAAATGTAATAATTCCATAAATCGCTAGCACGATCGCTTTATCTTCGAAAGAGATGACTATATATTCTAGAAATGAATGCATGTATCCTTATAATTGATACAAAAATGTTTGTTTGGACCTACCCTTTAATTTTTCCTTGAGCATCAAAAACGCAATGTCCAGCTGTCAGTACATAGCGTGAACTGATCAAGGAGCCACCACATGCGAATGCCGCCTCCTTGGTGGGGTACACGAACGTTGTCTTTAGTAGAACTGTCCACGGGAACTGCTCTAGGTCTGTCTCTTTTCCTCCTGAAAGTATATTTAGTTAATTCATTGGAAAATCGTTATAAATTCTGTAATTTAAAACCAATAGTTGCTATATAGAGAACCAAGGTGAGTCTAACCCAATGTAGAACTTTCTATTGGTCAAATAAGTGATATTTCTTATATTGATTAAAGTATGACTGCGAGTGAATTAGCGATAGGACTATAGCTTGTTAATTTTAGTTATTTTTTTGAAGATTGATATATTTTTAAAATTTAATTCCCTACTCATAATATTGCTTCCTAAATTCAATTTTTATTTCATCTAATATTCTACTCCAGTTTTCATTTATTACTAAATTATAAATTCAGTTAGCATTGCTCAAAATGTTAAAATAATTCATACTACGAGTATATCAATAATTTTACCGTTTCCAAAATAACATTAATCCGCAAATTAGCTGTGATAGCCGGACGGACCGATATACACAACCATGTGATCATAGTAAAAACCAGAACCCTTTGTTTTTATTTAAATTAATTAGTATACCCAGTTACACAAACCTCCATTAAAATTATCATTAGTTCCAAGCTACATTACCGATACTAATTTTCAAATTTAGAACATTAATTAGAGCTTAAAGTCGTTATTAATACTTAATGGACGTTTATGCAACTGAGCGTCAGTCGTAATCTCATGGACATTTGTAAAATAAGTGTGAGTTGTGTACACTTTCATAAGTGCTTGTAAAAAACCAAGATTGAATGAATTATTTTGATTTGATTTGATTTACACAGAACAAGGGTGGTTGTGTACCTGCTATGCGATTATCAATTGTTACAGTTATATTTTCTTGGCGTTTACTTCTTCTTCCGTAATTAGATCGCGACATCCACGAAGGCCATGATTCAGAGCTCTGGTAATTCATCTGAGGCATCCAATTGTTTCGACGGTTGGCGTTTGGATCGTATTGAGCGTTTAGTTGAGCTGTAAAATTTATATTTATTTAGTAGAAAACATAAACATAACATAACATAAACTAATAATAAATATAAACTGCATCATCGCTGATACTATAATATTCTTTTGTATATTTGCATAATTTGGTATAAGTGAGTTTCCCTTTAAATAATAATTTTGTTTAGCTATCACGGTTCATGAGATACAACCTGGTGACAGACAGACGGACAAAGTAATAGGGTCAATCTATGCAAAATTTATCACATTATATAAAACAAAATAACTAATCTCTATTTCATCCGATAATGAATTGGAATACTTTAAAAAACTCCCGTGTTAAAAAGAGTGGAAACCTGACAGACTTATATATCATGGCACAGCGGAAACTATTGTGCCTAGAAACTGGAAATTTGGTTTAGAGGAACCCCTGTAATACATAACGTTTGAAGTTTATTTCCATGAAATTCAAGTCAACGATATTTCATAGGATTTTGTTCCTTTTTTTGTTTAAATCAGATATTATAGTATATATTATTATCCGGAATATACGAAACTGACCAGATTAGGATTTTGTAATCATATTTAATACACGTACAATTATGTATTGTGTGTAATATACGTTATACTTAGGCACTTTTGCAAGATTATACATATGTATATCGTATTTTCTCATTTACACTTTATCTCAATATTTAAAATGGACTTACAGTTAATCCCATCATTGTTAGAAGCCTCCAGTCCGCAACAACCCGATGCGGGATCAGGAGGAAAGCTTGTTACAGGACACTGTTGCGGGTTAGAAGGCTCTTTAAAATTTTTACTACCACCATTATTTCCATTGGCAGGCAAAAAATAGGGATTTTCTACATAATTTTGTTTTGCACGCCTCTGCCAGTACGGTCGACCGAATTCGTCATAGTCGTCCCTAATGCCACCTCTATTTCCCCAATTGTTATTTCCCGTGTTTATTGGACGATTGTTGTAATTTCTATTCGGTTGGTAATTGAATCCATCTCTTCTGTTCAAATCTGAATCAGAGTTTGGTCTGGGTATGTTTGCATCAGTATTTGTGTAGCTGTGATCTTCATGACTTGGATTCTCAACTCCCCATACGTTTGCTGGACAGCAGACCTGAAATATTTATATCGTAATACATAGGTAATTTATTGTAGTTTTGAAATGTACTGAGTATTTCCTAATTTAATCAATTCATTTAAAAAATAAATAAACAATTTAATTAAAAGTTCATAGTTACTCTACTACATTAGTACAGTTTTAAAATTATCCAGTTAATCTGCGGGCACACGAAATAGATTGTATTAAAAGCAAACAAAGCAGATATTTCCAGTTAATAACCGATAATGTGAACTGATGACTTTCCATTTTCATATAATATTATTAATTTCAAAAACGTTATTTAATAAAGCCTCATCATAAACGCGTGAATAATATTTCGGGAGACCTACTTAATAGTTTATTACTCATATTTATGAAACACGTTATTTATGTTCGGATTTTGGTTTTGTTTATTCCGTGATGCATAATTCTTTTTGTTTGTCAAACAGTTTTTTGTATCATATACTTTAGACTTTTTATAAGTAGTTCGGTGACGTAGAGGATAAGGGGTCCGCGATCGTTGTTGTTAAGCAACTTTCGAAAGGGTCGATCACGGGATGGATGAGAGTGAGTTGGTCCGGCCTCCTTAACCATCCATGAGGAAGGCCTGAACCCCTGTAGTGGGGACGTAAAAGGGCTAATGATGATACTTTTATATTCATAATCTTTTTTTTACCAAACATCAAAAGCACCAGAGTATATAATTGAATTACAGTAAGTATGTTTAAATTCAAATTGTGCTTGAAATTGAAAATTATTATGCTTATAACTTAATTAAATGTTTACAATTAATTAATTTTATTTTTGCTCATCCATTAAATACTGTTCAACACCTAATAAATCGGAGTGGTAAGTGTAAGTTTTACATTTGTAGTTATCACTAAGCGTCCTGAACTTACTTTCACCCATTAGATTAAATAAGGTAAATTGAGAAGTAATTTGTACGATATCTTATAATAAAAAAATGTTATTACCTATGTAATAATAAACTAAGTTTTATTCTATATTTATAAAATAGAAATATTTTATGAAATAGCTTTTAGTAAATATTCTTTTATTAAGATACAAGTAGGTGTTTCTCAGGCGTATTGCTATTCATTCATTTATTATCTATAATTACCATTAACTTAGAATAAACTTGTTTTGAATTTATCAAATTGTGTAAAATTATTAATGCATTTTATTTGATCAATTTTGAATTCACAATGCTATGCTGAAGAGTATTTTTAATGAAATAATTCCTAAACAATCTAATAAAAAATATTCTATGATTCTATGAGTATTTAAAGTTTGTGATATCCTTTAGTTGCTACATTTACACCTCAAGTAAATTAATGCGCCGAGACTGCTTCTGTCCGCAATCCGCGAAAATAAATCAATATAAATATTGTTATGTAATAATTGCAATGTTGTACTGATAGCTGAGTTTTTTATATTTAAAGGCAATGCAGATAAACTGTTCTTACCAAATCTCCTTTGGCGGTAGATGAAAATCCAAGAGGAATGTCTTTTTCATTTGATTCAGGGCAATTAAACCTCTCGCGCCATTTGCTCTGTTCATATCTGTTGAGTTCTTTGTACGTCTGACAATCTTCCGTAGCGATACAATTATCACATTTATCTGTGGACATATAAAGAGATGCTTATCTATTAAAGTGTTCTAATTCAATGTTTTAACAATAATAAGAAGAATTTTTATATTCATCGTATCTAGTGATATGTTTTACGCTAAAAGTGGAATGTTGCTAATATATTTTATAATTATCTCTTACTTTTAGTTTCTAAAATATATTAGTTGTATAGATAATTTCAGACAAGAAAACTAAAAATATCGGGTAGTGAATGCAAAATTTTATAAGTGGCTTGATATTTTTTTAAGTCGTTTATTTTGTGATTTCTTGTTTATGGTTGATGAATTTCTATAAATCTGCATATTGACTGTTAAAAAGTTATTATCATTACTATTACCATTAAATAGAATATATTTTTAGTAATTTCAAAGAACATTGTCTATCACAACTACTAGACTGAAAGCTGAAAGGTTTGTTCTCTCCTTCAATTTTAAAAACAAAAAAGTCAAACCACGCTTTTTTGTGTTAGAAAAATTTGTTAAACGTTTAAACGTTATAAAACAAATTAAGTCTTAATTAATTCTGTTATCGTCTTTATTGGATTTTCAAGTTGTTGATCGGAAAGGCGGAAAGGGGAATGGAAATTGTTCCCCACGACCTTAATAGAATCATGGCGTAGACATACTTAATAATTACAAGAAAAAGAAACAAAAAATTAAAAAAGAATTTAATACTCCTTAGTCATCCATAAGGAAGACCTGAGCCCCTGCAGTGGGGACGTAAAAGAGTTGATGATGATTGGAAAACGGATGAGATCATTCTATTTCCTTATTTGTCTCTTCTCATAATGATGATGATAAAACACGAGCCAGTATCAACGATTTTTGTTATGTTCTTTGAATAAAACTACATTTTTGCTTTCTAACTACTTTGAAATCTCCGTTCCCTAGTGGTTTGTACGCCGCTCCAAGGTGTTGTCGTCTCTGATATCCCGGGTGCGTTTCCCGGTCGGGCCAATGTAGAAAATTAACTCGTCTATTTAGTCTCGGGTCTGGGTGTTAAATGTTTTTGATGTTGTATAATAATTACAATTATAGATTTATCGAACAAAACAGATAACTTTGTCGTTCTACTTAAAATTTTTAGGGTAGATATCCATGACTAAGTTAGGAATATTTTCTTTTTTAATTCGTGCCCCTTGCGAGTGGTCCCACGTTCCCCACTTATTTGCCCGCCTTCACTGCGTATCTCAGATTAAATATTTCTGCACGTACCTATTTTCCTTTATAACTGCATAACAAACATCTGTCCTAGACGGACGGACAGATATACAGACTACCGACTGATTCCTGAAGGACTCGGTTTTTCTTTTTTAGATATATACGAAATCCCTATATTAGCTTAGACACTACTTCTTCATAAAGACTAAATATCAAATGTGCCTTTCTTATTTCACCGTCCGCATAATATATATACAATAACAAAGTTGCTTCCTGTTGTCTGCACACTGGGATCTTTTTAAACTTTACAACGGATTTTAGTGAGATTATCATCAATATACAGAGTTATTCAATAGGAAATATAAACACTTGTAATACAGGAACACGTCGGCGAAAAGCTAGTTTTCTTATAAAGGTTACAAAGTAAATTACAAAATTGTAATGACCTACCTTTGGCGTAAAGACTAATAGAACATAATGCCACCAAGATTACACAAAAACTATGATAAATCTGATTCATAGCGAACACTTATTTACAATATCACAAGTCACTTAAAGGTACGCGGCGTTGGCGATTGACCGATCACTCATTGTAAAATGAACAACTAATTGTTTAGACGGAGGAAATCTGATTGTGGGTATTTGCCACTAATTACGATGACGTATTGTTGATTGCACTATTAGTTTTGAGCCATTAGAAATTGTAACATTCTTAGAATGTAATGAATTACATTGTTGATGTTTCTTTATGATTTTAATGGGGGAAAAATACAAAATTGTGGTAATTTCCAAAAAAATATATTGTTTCTAAAGTTTTAGTCACGGTTTTAAAAGTATATATTAAAAATATATATTTATATCCTTACTATAAACTGCAACAAACCGAAGAAGATTATTAATATTAAAAAGAATTTAGAAATTTACTATAATGTTACTATTTGAAGAACTAAGTAAAATATTTAAAGAATGGGTAATATTACAAGTAGTATGATATTAATATAATATTAGTATTTTAAAAGCTGAAATAGAAATAAACTAAGTAATGGTTCTTAAACGGGTTTTAAAATGACATTATCTGAATTATTCGCTGTTTAAAGTTTGTTTTTTAAACCTCTTTAAAATTTCTTTTTTTTTTTTTTTTTTAACAAATCGTTTAAGAAGTCATCACTAAACATTTGAATTATTAAACGCGATTCCATTTTTAATCCATATACTGTCTATTCCTGAGTACTTCACATATATTAATTAATACTGTGTCTCTAACACGACTGCCTGGGACAAGTTAAAAAATATAATCTTTTTTAAAAAATCAAGTGTATGAAGCTTCGAAACATGTTCGATTTGAATAGAATGATATTTCTATTATAACAGTATTTTAGCTACTATTTTTCTATACTTACCTATTCGTTAATTACTGATACGGAGTGCAGCGGCGCCATTCGTCTACGTATTACTAGATGGCGTTATGCGCCTGTTGAAACTACCTATCATATAGTTATGAGTCGGGTTGGCGAAAAAGGAACAGAGTCACTGGGGAAGAAAGGAACGTGTAGCTGTTAATGATCGTTGCGCGTTAACATGCTAAATTTTTAACGCTTTAACGTGTACTTACTTAACAGCGTTAAGCGCTAAGTACGATTAGCGTGTTAAATTAACGCTCTAAGCGCTAATTTAACCACCTCTAATTCTTCAGTGGACAAGCGATCTGCGGGCAAGAGCGATCGGAAGCGAGAACTAGTGCGATAAACGATCTACTAGTGTTGTGAAGTGACCGTAGTGAAGTTAAAGTATGTATTTTGTTCTTAGAGTTATATTTGTGATTTTTTTTAAATTAAATAAAGTCGCATTGTGAGTTTCGTTGGCGTTGCTTTTATCCCGAAACCTAAGTGGTAAGAAAACTTTCTATTATTATATATACTATGTTCTATAAACTATATTTCCATTATATCTGTGATTGAGACTTTGAGCAGAGTTTGTGATGTTTTATAGGTATATTTATTACTAGCTTTCCGCCAGCGGCCTCACCGGCTTATATGATGATTAGACGGTACATTTATCCCTAGGTTACTGATTAGTGGGATGAAAGTAGTCTAATATGTTAATTCAAGCTAATTACACCTATTTATGATATTAGTAGGATTATATTTGAAAGATGGTATGGGTAAACAAAATGATAAGAGAAGTATAATCTCGATATCATTAAAAGTTATTAATAAATTTAAGCGTTCGAAGATTTTTCATAAACTATGTTTTAATTAATAATTAACGGGTTATTGTAAGATTTTGTAATAATTTTAGGTATAAGATTTAGATGTCTATACCAATAATAATAAGAGGAGAGATTGGATTGTTTGTTTGTTTGCATCGAATAAGCTCCGAAGCTACTGGATTAATTTTAAAAGATCTTTCACCTACGGGTAGCAACATCATACGAGGTTAACATAGGCAAATTTATAAAACAGAAGAAAAAATAGTTTGAAGCTCACACTCTTTCATTTATTTACCTAAATGCATCTCGAATATTTAATTAGGTAGTCATGAAACAGTAAAAAGGTGAAAGTTTGATGGAAAAGATAGAAGTGGAGTTTTTAATTTACCTTTTTTATTTTGTAGTTTACATAAATGCATCTCGAACATTTAATTGCATTAGTATAGTTATAAAACTGCGCTATTATGAAGTTTTTCCAACCGACGGGTGTTAGATTTTCCTAAATTCATAAAGTGAATTCAGTAGCACTATAATTGGTTAGTTTGCAACCGAAATGAATACAAAGCCTTTCAAACGCTAGCTTTATGGAAGAGACGTCGGTTAGAATAATTGATGTTTTTCATATTTGCTATTCTTTTTACCTATCCATTCGATGTATACTTCGAGGATGAACAGGCACTTTGAAACAATTTTATATTACCTGCTTTTCTATGCAATTAAAGAGACAAATTAAAATTCTAGACAAACCAATATTTAAAGAACGCTATCAATATTTATAAATATAGTTTTACATTGTAATAAAATTAGATATATAAAACAAAAATCTGTTCTAATATCTCTATAATTGAATAAATCCGAAATACTGTAAACATTTCATACGTTGTTGTGATTTGGAAGTAACGAATGTAAAACGTTTGTGTTATTAGAGGCTGTTAGGCTCAGACCACACTGTAATTAAACACAAGTATAAAACTTTGCGTACAAGCGTGTGCATTAGCCGACTGGAAATATATGAAATTTAACATTTTCAGCTACATCTGAACCACATCCGTCTTATTATAATATGAGGACTAAACATAGTACTTGGTTTAAATCACTGGCCGCCTAAAGAAAATTTACAAGGATAAAAGAGAAAATTTCAAATTGAGACGTGTTGACTTATTTTGGTCGGATAATGGTGTTAAAGTTTATTGTAAGACGGCACGTGTTTAGCGGTAGTATACCAAACCAAATCTCATATGGAAAGGTTAGTTTTTTACATTAATGCGTCCAGTTGCAGTATTTGTTATTATGAAATTGTTTAATTTTTCTCTTATTGGTTTATATCTTCTTGAAAATATTAATATTGAGTGAATTTTATTAGTAACAAATCAAATTGAAGTCGTGAATTATAGATATAGTAACGTCGAATTCGGTAAGTAATCATGTTGTCAACACACATAAAAAAACAGAGCTTCACAAAGGCTCACAAAGTGAATCAGTTAGTCGCCAATCAACTTCAATCTAGACATCACTACACATTATAAACAAAGTTCTTGTTTTGTGTCTGTCTGTCTTAATGCTATAAATTTAAAAAGTACCTAAGCAAGTTATTTATCCATAGCTTAGTTATGATAAATGTCCGTTCGATTAATAGAAATAAAGACAAAAACAATACAAGCATAAAAGTGAAGTAATAACCTTGAAACGTGCATGATTTTTAAATAGGTATATTATATATATATATATATATATATATATATATATATATATATATATATATATATATATATATATAATATACCTATTTAATACATACATATACTTAATTGTGACGTCAAAATTTTAATAAGATATAAGGCAGATAAGTTAATAGTAACTAAATTATTTGATGAATTTCATGAAATCTTTTTGACTTAACATAACGAGTTGTAAAGTAAAATGTCCTATTATAAGAGATTATCCTATTATAAATTACGAATGAAACACTTATGTACTCGTCATAATTTATAACATTGAATGAATTATAGGTACTTTAAAATGCATCTGAACAGGTCTTGTAAAGTACCTATTGTACTACCGTTTAGAAAAATTTGGTACAAGTTTTCGGAATAACCATGTCGACTGGAATCTTACTAAATATAAATTGTATCCGAGCGAAGCAGGGACGGGTCGCTAGTGACTTATAAATGAGGAATGCACACGATGTTCCAATGTTCCATTGCACAGGCCCCATTGTTAGACTACGTTCCGAAGCCAATTTAATTTACTTTATAAACGTCTGGCGCTCTTCCAAAATCACTTGCATTATGAAATGTGAACTAATTAAAAGGATGTATATTTTACTCTTTGTAAGAAAGACGAGAAAGTAAAAGGCTATTTATTTGAAGCTCTTTTGTCTTTGAATGCATTTAAAAATAGTACATGTTACGATTTAATGTCTTATGCCGTATTCGTCTTATCGAATGCCATAAACTCAAAAACTACCGAAGGAATTTTAATTAATAAATGGGTACAGATAATTTTCCTATTTCAATCTACTGATGGATGTTGGTTTCCCCTAGGACGAAACAAAATACGATATCTCGCCACCTTCATCCAGTCATTGTCTGCCACCTTTCTGAGGACGTCAGTACATCTTGTCTGAGCCTACTTTTCTTGAGACTTGGTCTACATGCGAGAATACCTCCTCTGCCACTTTGGCCTGTTACAATTGTCAATAATGTCGATCACATTGATTTTCATTTCTGTGTAAATCGCTTAGAGTAACTCCTAGCATAGACATTTCCATATCTCAGTTTGTTGAAAAACTATAATATAATTGCTAATTATTTAAGATATCTATGAAACTATGCTGACAAGGAAATTAAAAAATTATATATTACTTTTAAAGCTTGCTGTTTAGAAAATTTCCATGTAACATAAAGTTATGGAACTCATAGCTTTCTAAAATATTAATTGATTTAACAAATATCTTGTTTGATGTAATGAAAGCTGAACTATTACACTAAATTATTATCAATCATAACATGACATAAGACAGAGAATTGCATTTACCACAGGTTTTTTCATGCGTTTTATAAAAAAAAATTTCTATAAAATTTTACGAAATAAGGGAGCTTCATTTTCGATCAAGCACATAGGAGTAAAAAAAAATTCTATAAAATTTTACAAAATAAGGGAGCTTCATTTTCGTTCAAGCACATAGGAGTAAATATTTTCACTTTATCTCATTTTTAAACAATTGCATGTTAGGATATGAAAGAGGAAGTTCCCTAATATAGAAGCGTTTCATTTGTGTAAGCGGTAAGTTCTATCTGTACAAGTAGATCATGAATGGCAGGACCAAGTTTACCCTCAATGTTCTCCCCACAATTTTTGCCGCAGCATTTGATGACTCTCTGTAAATATCTGGTTTCAATTTTCCCTCAATTAAGACCAGGTTGCGTTCAATCGACAAGTGGCACTTAGTTCTAATGGGTTGCTTCAATAGGGTCCTGTGTTTCGTGCAGGAGTGAAATCCTTGGGGAGGGAAGGGTTGATATAATAAGGTGTCTTGGGATCTTTTGAGATTTATATTTGCTATATCGTAAGTAAGAAAAGTTATGGTAAAAGCGAATGAATAATGATACCTAACTTCTTATAAATGCACACGATCAGAACCTATGATCAGAACTATGAAGAAAGTAGTCGTAAATAAATTCAAGTAATCATTAATTCCTTTGGTTTTATGTGAATACTCGTATAATAACTCAATAAATGTTTTCACTTTATTATGAAACGTAAATGAAATATGTAGTGGTTTGATATAATATGTATACAGATATAAAGAATTTAAATAAGCAAAAAACATTAAATGTGTTACAACCAAAGACTTCTATGTATACTACAAAACTTTTTGAATGCAACAGTAACTCTAAAATCATGCGTACTTATAACATGAAATAAATTTCAAAGAGTTATGTATTTAGTATCTAGGAATTTGTGATTTTAACGAAAATTCATAAATTTTTGATAGTTAATACTAGATGGGCTCTATCTAAACTAATATCTTAAACATTCGATATTGAGGGTCTATGTGAGATTTCATTCTAGGCCCCCTAGTGCCGTATACACCTACAGATCTGATTGAGCTCCTTTTGAATGGAAAAACACACCCTAGTGACTAAAGTTATTAATGAAAAAGTAACCTTTATAACAGGTTCATCTTTTGCGTGTACCGGCGCAACACATTTTCTCGAAGCAAAAGTTAATAAATGACGTGTATAAGCCCCAGTGCACATGTCGAAACATCGATCATAGTACGAGGGGAGCCAATATTTGGGGGCTGCTAATGCAATTGCTACACGACTTAAACTAAACTGAAAGACGGATCGATTATAATCCATAGAGTAAGTAGCAGGTGAAAGCCAATTTGCCGATCTTAGAGTTAGAATTGGAATAAATTCTATCTACCAATATTTCTAAAACCATTAAATCCAAAGGTTTCTTCTATGTTCGTGCGATATTCACAATTAACTCGAAATGCTGTCAAAGATATGACTGATGTTTTAATATTTTTGTGTGTTATTTGTAGTTTCAGACATCGTTTATTCAAACAACTACACACAATTACATCACAAACTTGAAAAATACAAAATACAGCAAAGTATAGAATACATTATGTTATACTTGTGTGCAACAGTAAGATAAGTGTTAAGGCTCAGTGCAGGTAAATCACCCAAGATGTAGTTCAGGTGTTCATATAAAAAATTGATACCGGATTCAGCTAGTCTACGCTAATATTATAAAGAGGTAAGATTTGATAGTTGGTTTGTACCAGAAAGTACTGGGCGGATTGTAAAAATTCTTTCACTTAAAGGAAACTAAATAGGCTATAATTTACACAGGCAAAGTCGCGGGAAAACGGGACGGTTTTATTATTGCAGCAGTTTGAGCAACTCGCACAGAAGTCAGTGATTGGACACTATCTCGAACTCTCATGAACTTCAAAAGGCACATTTAACTATTGTTACTGCAACTGAGTAGCTCGGTGGCCGGCGGTCGTTGATATTAAGCTCCTTTCGCAAGGGTTGGTCACGGGATGGGTGACAAAAAATTATTATCCCAAGCTACACCATGCTTTGGAAGGCACGTTAACCCTTTGATCCCAGCTGCATTTGCAGTCGTTAATAACCTCCAATCCGCATTGGGCTAGCGTGGAGGGTCATGGCCGATCTTCCAACCAAGGAAGGCCTGAGCGCCTGCAGTGGGAACGTAAAATGGCTGAGGATCACAATAGACATTATTATTCTATTGATATGCGATTATTACATAAACATTATCA